AAAGAGAAAGGTGCTGTGGGGATTGCTTCGTGTCCCCCGTGGGCTGGGGCTGCAGCAGCTGGTTTACAGTGCACTTGCTCAACCACAGCCCAGTTTATTGACTCTCCAGGAAGGGCACGTGGATGAGAGGAATGTCCATGACTGAGACTGGTTTCTACCAAAAGCACTAAGGTTAAAACTTACCCCCTGTGTATCCTGCAACCTCAGGCTACATTTAGTTGCAATTAACCTCTTCTCACGTGGCCTTTTTGATCTAAGGGTCAGTATATGAATATAAGCTACTTCCTAAGGTTGGTACCTTCCTCTTCCCAGTGTGGAGATGGGAAAAAAGAGCAAGATGAGAAGCTAGCTGCTGTCTCATGGGCTGGACAAGGTGCAAAACCCAGGCTGCACCATCCCTTTGACCCTTGTTGTTACTGTTGCCCTCACTTTCCTGTGCCTGAAATCAGTGGGGCTGCTCTTGCAGCTATCAAGGTGCAAATAGTGAGAAGGTGCTGCCTTGTTCAGAGGCATTCTGCTTTAACTTTTAGAAAATCATCCCCAGAGACAGGATTTTCCACAGAGAAACTGATGCTGTCAGTAATTCCAGACTCAGGCTGCATGGGTCTGCAGGGTGAAGCACCCATCGGGATGGTTGCTGAAGAACACCCTGAGATAAAATATATCTTTATGTGATATATAAGTGATTATCCATTCTAAGTGGTTGTCCATTGAAGGGGAGATGGCACAGTAGGGAGCAGGAGAGGGAAGATGCCAATCAGTGCTAAAGGGAACAGTCTCAACTAATGATGCCCTTCTGAAGTGCTTCATAGTTCCATAGGAAGTATGAAGTATTCAAGGCTTTGCTCAACACCATCTAAGGTCTCTCTGTGCTATATCACAGAAATGAGGATGAGAATAATATTGAGCCTTCCCTGGGCTTGGTGACAGAGTGGTGGCCATGAAAGAATCACTTTTACTGGAAGTAATTAGAAAGTGAAATAAGATCCTGCCCATGGTTCCACAGTTTTACTGAAAAGTTTTAGTGAAGAAGTGAGGTAACCAGTTGAGAAATTTGTTTTTCTCAAAAAATGACTTCCCCCATTTGTGTACACAAGAATACAGGTGTAAATAAACATGGGAAGTGTCACCTTTCTAACTGCTTCCACCTTTTGTGTAAGCAATAATGTAGGATGGAGAGAGATATATTTCTCTTGATCCAGACCCTTTGTGATATATAAGAAGGTGTTTATCAGCCCACTACAACTTTCCTGTGTGAAATTTGTATAAACAAGCAGGGTAATGCTTCAAAACAGTCTTTCTCACCAGGATCCCCTAGGTAATGAGCTCTTTCATAGCTGTCAACCACTGCATGTGACAAATGATAAGAAAGCTCGTTAAAAGCAGGAGACATCCACACTGCTCGTTAACATGAAAGGCAATTGGTATGATTTTAACCTGGGAGAACATGAAAAAGTGACTTTCCCTTGAGTTCTGAAAAGGGGTGAAGTGAGGGAAAGAAATAATCTCTTAGCTCCAACCTCCATTCTGGTGCAAATCTGGTCCAGTCCTACAGCCTGTTAGCTATTTTTTTTCCCTAGACTAGTTTTAAATATCTAAAGAAAACTATAATGGGACATTGTTGCCTTCCTGCTTTTCATTGTGGCACTTCTGTGATATACAGCTGAACATTTTAAGGTGCTGTTTTATGAGCACAGCAAAACAACCACCCCATAAGTCCTCGATACCATTTTACAGATTCCCAATTTTTAGATAGTTTTTTTCTTCCAGCATTTACTAGCTCAAATGCATTCATGTTGAGCTTTGCTCTGCTAGATGTTTATGCAATGAAATGGTTGTGAAATGAAATATTTAGGAAGAACTCGTGAAGTAGAGGCAGCGAACAATTTTTGATGCTGTGTTAATACTTTAACCAAGTTATCTTATGGATTAAGGGGCTGTGGAGAGTGCTTTGTCCATCACATTTCTGATGACCCAGAAAGTCTGAGTTTATATTAGTTTGCAGCTGTAGGCAATAGCTTCCTGCCAGCAGAAGTCTAAGTGGTAATAACATCACCATGGCCAAAAAAAAATAGAAAAAATTTACTTTCAAGGCTAGACTTTTCTGTATGAAATCTGTAAATGTCATTTCCAGGATGCACTGGCTGCCTTATTAGGATCTGAAGTGGAACAAGCACCCAAATACTTCTCTCTTTTACAGGTACTGGGGCCAGGTTTGCTGTTTCCTATTGGGCCAGTTGAGTCAAGGCCTCTTTGGAGTGTCTTTTTTTCTAATTTTTTTCATGTGGCTTTGCTAAAATAATGATGACTTTAGTATTACTCACACTATTTCATGTTCAACTCCAAGTATTCAAGACTTGGCTTTACCTGGACCTGGATAACCTAATCTAAGACCCTGTTTTTTAGCAGGATGTTGGTCCAGATAATCTCCAGAGGTATATATTTCCACAGTGTGCCACATATGAAAAGGATATTTTAAGGATATTAATGAAATGTAAATCTTGGGCCGTGCTCATGGATGGTAGTTATACTTAGAAATCCAAATCTCTCAGACTCAGCACTCAAAGCCATGTTTCATGTTATAGCATCCCAAGGATGGAATATGATCTTGTGATTTCACCACTGTGGACTGTATCTTCTACTGACTGTGTTGCTTTGGGTACTACCATTATCTGCCAAGAAATTGGATGTAAGTGCTGGAAAATCCATGTTACACATGAAGTCAGACTTGAACTGCAGGAGGACGTAGAGTTGTAGGACAGAATAGTGTTTATTTTTAATGAGTGACCAGCATTTAAATCCCTTGGGCAGCTTAAGGGACGTGTAGATATTCATGTGAAATGGCCCATTGAGAGCCACCTCAGAGATCTGACCAAGGGCCAAGCTCCATGAGGTCCTTGTCAGAGGTGATGGATGTGCATCACCTTGCCTTTGGTCAGAGCTTTTAACAAGCTGTCAGAACTTGCTAACGCTGCTTTTAAATGAATGCTGCAATTTCCTTTACTGTCTGTAGCTGATGTCTCATAAATACAAGGTAAGTGAAAAATGGAAAGATTAGTCTTGTTTCTGCCTAAGAGAGAAGCATTTTTAATCTTAATTTTGCACCTTCCTTTGGTGAAGAATATATTCCACATGAATATCTAGTTTTCCATCCATCCTTTTATAATCTATTACCTGCTGGGCTCTGTGCTGAATTAATAAAGAGGGGCAAAGAGAAGAAAATGGGACAGCTTTAAATTAATTTTGACTTCTTGATTAAACAATATCATCACTTTACTATGAGATATTATAGGTGCCAATATCTGCATTCAAGCTCAGATAATTGTAGTTGTCTTGATACCCAAGAACCTTCACAAACCTGAACCTCTGATATAAATTGAAATTATTTCAGCTAATACTTCAACTTATAACATCTGCACTTTTGTTTTTCTTTTGTTGCCATGCCCAAAAATGTGGGGCAGGTGCAAGGAGGGTGGGAGGAGATGGGCAAAGGGCATTTCATGAGTCACACTCTGGTGTAAACTCCTGAAAAGAAGGGAACTCAGGGTTAGGAGGTGAATGAGCCAGCAGTGGAAGGTGAGCATGACTCGGTGGTGATGGCTGGGATTGTAGGAAAGGGTCAGGGCAGGCACTGGGAGCCAGCACCAGTACTGGGGGGAACTGGGGGGTTACCAGATGTTGCTGGCATCCTTTCTCCTGCAGACTGGAAGAAGGAATTGCCCAAGATGGGGAAGAAAGTGTTTAAATCAGTGAACATGACAGATCAGAAAGCTGGAGTTGTAGCTGCTTGTACGTTCTCCCAAATAAAAGAGCAGGTGACTTGGAAACATAATTGACTTAATTAAAATAACCCAAGACACTGAATGGGGAAAAGTGAGACAGGATCTGGGCTTTTGGGGTGTCGATTGGCCCAGGTGGTTACAGGCTCCTGTTTCCTTCTTAAACAAGAGTTTTATTAGCAAGCGCTGAAGCTCACAGCATCTTTTCTAAGGGGTAAATAGCTAGACTTTAATTTGTTCCAAGAGCTATTTGAAATTTTTTAATGTACTGTGCATATATATATATATATACACACTTGCACATAATTGTTGTGGGATTTTTATATCCTGCTACCTGCAAATCAAAAAATAAAGGTTTTAATTTTAAATATGCATCGAAAAGCCCTTTGTATCTGGGACATTTGTACATCAAGCAAATATTTGTAGGTCACCTTTAAACTAATATATACTCCTGGTAATCAGGATGGGCTAATGTAGGCAATCTGAAGGCTATTAATAGTTACTTTCAATTATTTGAACTGTTTCAATGAATGAATGTGACCTATCTGGTGTTCTCACCCCATCTCCTGTTCACGGGAACGTCACCACGCAATAACCCAGGGGACAAGATTAGTGTGTGTGGAAAATAAAAGAGA